CGCGGGGAGAGCGCGCGGAGGCGGCGGGGCAAGGCCGGCGAGTCCCCGGAGGCTCTGCGGAGTGAGACCCGAGACGCCTGGATGGCAAGAGACTGAGGGGAAAGGGAGCACACGCTCTGGAGGTTGCGGGGGCGGGCTCGGGGACAGGGGCGGAGCTACACCCCGAGGCGTGCAACTCGTGGAGAGTGAGGGGAGGAGGAGTGAGAGCGAGCTCGGCTGTGGAGTGCCCGGAGCGGGAAGAAGAAGAAGCCGGCCCAGCCTGAGTGGAAGCGAGCAACGCTCCTGGGCGCGCGAGTAGCGCGGGATTGGCTGGGCGGACGCGGTGCGGGGACGCGCGAGGCAAGAACGCAGCCTCGGCGGGCCCCAGACAGAAGCAATCCCCCCCCCAGCCTGCAGCCTCGTCAGTTATCCGCCGGCTCGCTCGCCCGCCCGTCCGCCGGGGAGCCGCTCTGGGCCAGGTGCCGTAGCGAGGTGGGCTCAGCTCCTTGGAAGGCGCGGGTGAACCTAGAGGTGGCGTAGGAAGCTACATGGGTGGCAGGACGGTGGCCGATGTGACGAGTGTCTCCCGTGGGCAGAGGCGGGTTGCCCTGTGGCGCCTCAGCTGTGACCCGCAGTCAGCTCTCCCTGACAGGATTTCGGTCTCACTTCGCTTTAGTTCCTCTCAGAGACCCGCCTACCAGATCTCGCAGAGGAAGCCTCGGCGTCTGCGACAGGGCTTGTGGAGTGGAGATAGTTGCAATCTCTTTCTACCATCCCCCGTTGTGGCCCTGAGCATCCTAGCCACGACCTATGCTTTTGGGTGAAATGCATCCATCTATTTAGAATGAGGGCACGTGTCTGTCACACACTTTGAAACCACAATCAGTTACCATGGCATTTAAGTTTCATTTCAGTATTTGTGGAATATGAAATTACCATGAAAACGTGGCCATTTAGTTCCGTGTCCTTTTCAAAAAAAAAAAAAAAAGTTACCAATCACCTCTCTTTTATGTAGGTTTGCCCTTTATTGGCTCTTTAATTTTTTTAAGCGTGTTTCTGTGTTTTCTCATTTGCTGACATAGGACCATAGTAAAACCTAGAAGCATAAGTGTCAAAAATGTTTAATAATCCACACTCAGACACAAAATCTCAGGGTTCATTTGATGGTTCTTTGGGGTTTGTATTGTTCCGGTTGGAACATATTATTACTCATCCTATTCACCGAAAATTCACATTGTGTCTTTAAATAATAGAGTACAAAAGAAATGGATGGAATTGAGGTAGAATAAAATAATGAAGTTTTTGAAGATATGTATGGCTAGCTTTCTGACAGTGGATTAAATTTTTAAGACAGATTATGAACTCACCTCCCATAATTATTGCCAAAGACCCTGGCGGCAAAAGAAGTCCTAATGGGTTTCAAAAGAGGGAGATAGATGAGAACGTATGTCCAAATGAATCATTCAAACCAAAGATGAAATAAAGTAGTTGACTACATCATAAACTTTCAAGCCTTTTTTATTCTCTGTGGTACTTGTAAATTCTATATGACTCAAAAAATAATATTTAGAAGTAACTTCTAAGCCTGCCCACTGACAGTCTCCTTCAAACTTTAAAGAAGGTAATAAAATGAGCACTCCCTCCAACTTAGAATATATTGTAGTTATTCATGGGAAAGTTAACTAGTACTTTCACAAATCAACAACAGAACAAGGGCCGTTCTGTATCTATAGAAGCAGTAATGGTGAATTACAGTAATTACTTTTCTGTACTGTGGCTTGCACTTGGAGCCTCATACACGCTAAGCAAGCATTCTACCACTGAACTGTGTCTCTTATGTAATTCATTAAATTGTAACTGAGTATGGTGAATATGAAGTGAGTATTCAGATTACATAGATTATTATATTTTTGCTATTAGTACTCAAATTATTGAAAATAATGAAGTTTAGTAATTATAGTAGATGACTTGTCTTCCAATTATTTTGTTCAATATGTATATTCCTCTCCCAAATTCCATAAGCTTTATCGATTAGAATTTACACAGAAATACTGTCCCCAGCTCCCACAATTTTGCTTTCCATGGTTTCAATTCTCCACATATCTAGAGTTCAAAAATATGAAATAGAAAACTCAAGTTAGAGAGTATACAATGTATCATATCTTATTGTATAATGAGATATGTATAGTCCTATCTCATTATACAGAATATGATTGTATACATTGTATACATGTATCATATTCTGTATAAATAAAATTAAACAAAATGCCTCAAGCTACATCATTCAAAAGTTTAAAATGCATACATTCTTAGAATGCAATCACATGTAATTCCATTTGGTCCTGCCTGTACTTTGAATTATCCACCTGTCCAACCTACCTAAGCAAACCCATTCCTTAGTCACTGAGCATTCATCTTGGTCATTGGAGCAGCTGTTCCAGTACCAAGTGTTTAATGGTAAATAAATTATTCCAAAGAGAAGCTGTAAAGTGTGTCCAACAGTGAAGAGGTGAAAGCTGAGATTACGAAGATGTACAGTAAAAACTAATAAAATCTATGTATGATTTAATACCGTGGAATTTCAGGTATACATTGGGAGTCTTGGAATGATAAGTGGAGTTGCTGTATTATAGTTTGTAGATTTTCACTACTATTACAGTATAGAAGCATCTCAAAATTCACTCTGAAATCAAATATCAAGGAAATTTTTTTCTGGATGGGAGAAGAAAAGTAGCAGTTTCAAATATTAGCAGTTTGTCTCAGGAAATTCATAGGACCGGGTTGAAAAGAGAATGGATGTGAAGCTAGTTCCTTGATAACTTGGTTAGGCGGACTCTTCTTCCAGACCCCCTAAATTAGCTACATTTCTCATTGCAGAAACAAAATAACAGACAAAAGCAACGTAGGAACTTGCAGTCCATCATGGTAAAGTAGTAGTAGTGTTTGGGAGCTTGTGGCAGCAGGTTACATTGCACCCTCAGTCAAGAAACAGTGATAAATGGTGGTACTCAGCTAGCTTTCTTCCTTTTCAGTCCAGGACCCTACCCCAGCAAATGGTACTACCAAGTTACAATGGGTCTTCCCTCCTCAGTTACCCTAATTAGAGAATTTCTCAGAGAGCTGCCTTAGGGCTTTGCTTCCATGCTGATTCTCAATCTCATCAACTTGACAATTAAGATTGATCATCACATCCCCCAACTCTCTACTATATGGTAAAGAGTTCATTCTTTCTTGAGGGTCCCAATACATACCACCACCCACATAATCTCTTGGTAGTCAGAAGGTAGAGAAGTTCTCAGGTGTGTACTGAAGACTCACAAATGTAGAAAGTCATGATTTATTTACATGGTTGCTTATTTGATATCAAAGAAACCAGAAACAACCACAAAAAAAGGGTTACTGATTTGTAAAATATGGAATTTTCTCCTTAATATATGAAAAATCCAAACCTATCAAATGATATGCATTTAAAAAGAAAAAAGTGCTACTAGATAAGGGAAGTGCAAGTTTTGTTTAAAAAATAATATTAAGTTATTTGATGTTCATTTAAAAATGGACACAATTATTGTTTATATATAATCTGCTATTGATAATATAGAATTGTATAATGATAAGGTTAGAATTAACATATCTATCACTTCAAAAATTTACCATTTCTTTGTGCTAAGAGCATTCTAAATCTACTTTTCCAAGTATTTTCAAGTATACATTATTGTTAGCTATAGTCAGTTACTGTGATGTACAATTGAAGCAAACCTTTTGCCTATCTAGTTGTAATTGTGCATCTGTTTACTCAACTCTCATCTCTTCCATTTCCCCTCAACAGTGTGTGTTAGCCATTGTTCTAACTTACATGAGAACATGTTTAGATTCTGCATACTTTTGAGTGAGATCATATGGAATTTGTCTTTCTGTATCTAACATCTCATTTTATGTAGTATCTTTCAGGTTCATCATGGCAACTCAACTGCAGGACTTTCTTTTTATCACTAAATATTTTATTGTGCTTGTATTTCACATCTTCATCTATTCATCTGTTGTTGGACACCTAGCTTGTTCTCTGCCTTGGCTATTGTGATTAGTTATGGAATGAACATGTAAGTTCAGATGTCTCATCAACATACTGATTTCATGTCCTCTTTTTTTTTAATCTTCCTGGTTTGGTTTTGTTTTTTTAACATTTATTCTCCCCCACACCATGTTATGGGAGTGTGTGTGTGTGTGTGTGTGTGTGTGTCTGTCTGTCTGTCTGTCTGTCTGTCTGTCTGTCTGTCAAGGGAGGGAGGGGCTGAGGGGGCAAATGATGGGAATTCTACCTTGTGCATTCCAAAGATCAAACTCAAGTCATCAATCTTGGTAGCAAGCAGTCTAACCTGCTGAGGCATCTCAACAGCTCTAATCTTTTTGTTTTAAGGAACAGTATAGTTTCTACAGTAATAGATCTACTAGTTTTCATTCCTACTAATACTGAATTCTACCAGAATTTACCTTTTTTAGCCTGAGTTCTAATGTGTCTTAATAATAAAACTCAAGTCAGCTATCGGGGAGACAGCTGAAAGATCAGAGAAGCAAAGCAGCCAGCCACTAGCTTTTAACCTCTACCTCAGACCAAAGGGCGAGCCTGTCCTCAGACTGCATTCTCAAACTGCTTTTGACTGCACTGCTGCTCATACTGAACTCCTGTCTCCTCCCACCTTATATTCCTCTCTCAGCCCAGCCATATCACTCCTGTCTCCATCTCCTTAGTGCTGGAATTAAAGGCATGTCCCTCCAAGTGCTAGGATCACCTTTGTATGAACTCTGTTTCTCTTTTAGACTAGATCAGTTTCGTGTTGCTTAGGGTGGCCTTCAATTAACAGAGAGCCTTCTACCTCGGTCTCCCAAGTGCTGGGATTAAAGGCATGCACCACCACTGCCAGGCCTCTGTGGCAGCTGGGATTAAAGGTGTGTGCCACCACTCCCTGACCTCTATGCTAACTAGTGTGGCTAGGTTTGCATTCTCAAAGCTTTGTTAAATCATAAACAAAATATCTCCACAGTCTTTTGTCTTTTGATAACTACCAGTCTTTTTCGGTGAGGTAGATCTTACTATGGTTTTAATTTTCATTCGTCTGCCCTATT